ATTTTGGTTTAAAGTAGAAAATGTTCAGTTCCAATCATTGCAATAAAGTCCTATGTTGTCACAATCATAAACCCCTAAGGTTCACATATTACTTCTTTTTCTTATCTTAACGCCTTTTACCCCACATATATGCACACACACAAGGATATGAACACGCACACACACACAGACACACACCAGCACGCACGCCACACACATACATATACACACTACACACACAACACACACAGCAACACACACACACACACACACACACACACACAGTGTGTGTGTGTGTGTGTGTGTGTGTGTGTGTGTGTGTGTATATGTATGTGTGTGTGTGTGTGTGTGTATATGTATGTGTGTGTGCGTGCGTGCCTGCGTGTGTGTCTGTGTGTGTGTGCGTGTTCATCCTTGTGTGTGTGCATATATGTGGGGTAAAAGGCGTTAGATAAGAAAAAGAAGTAATATGTGAACCTTAGGGGTTTTATGATTGTGACAACATAGGACTTTATTGCAATGATTGGAACTGAAATTTTCTACTTTAAACCAAATCCAAATTATTATTATTTTTTTCCAGAGGGGCCATTAAAGAGATTAGATCTCTAATTAAGTATGACCATGAGATGGCTAACTTATAGAACTACCTTTTTTATTGTTATTTGTATGGCTACCTTCTAGTTCGAGTAATTCAGTGTGAATATAAACCAGTGACAAATTTGATGTTGTAGACGTCTAACTTTGTACTGAATTCTTACAGGTGGAATTTTTATTTCCTAATTCTGTCATTGTTTGAGCCATCCATATGATTTTGAACATCCACTGGCAACCAGTCACTTACGTAAAGCATATATTTCATTTTCAATATAGTTATCTGCAGTACAAATGCAGGATAGATGGATAACAGGGGGCTTCAATAACTACCACTGCATTTCCTAGATTCTGGTGAGGAATAATAGTGTAGGATTATAATCCTAGGATTCTGGGGATGCTCTTGAATGGTCCAATGTGTGTTAAGAGGGCCACTGATGTCACTGTATGCGTGTGTGTGTTTGTGTTTGTGTGTGTGTTTTTTAATTGGTGAAGGGGCTTAGTTTTAAATCCTGTTGGGTCACTACCACTTCTCCTCAGTCAGTTCAAGAAATTAACATCAGTAAAATTAAACACTCAAAAATCCATACATAGAAGCTGATTCAAACTGATACAAACACATTGACATATTTATCGATATTTTCCACCAAAAATGATATTTTCTAAATTTACTGAGGAGAGTTGAAGTGGAGTTTAGTCCGACCCTGTTTCTGTCAATGGATGAGTGTTCACCTGACATGAACAAATTCGAGAGGTCATGTAGTAGTGTAGTAGACATTGTTCTGATGTAGTGCGTGTCAGTCTAGTTGTGATGCAGTAATTTCTTCTCTATAGTGCCTTTCACTGACACAGCCTGGCTTGACCAATTTGCAGACACACAGAGAGAGCTGGAACATTAAGAGTGAAAACAGACAAAATACTATATGAATGTATCAATAAAAAAACGAATGAAAATTGAGGAATGTACTTTATTAATTCATAAATGATCATTTTGGTGGTTGAAAGTTCTTACCTTGAACTGCTTGTGAATGTGAAACTGTAACATTATTCAACATTATTATAACAGCTGCTACATATCTGTATCACAGTGGGCCAGTTTGCTGTTTTATTTCCAGAATGTTTTTGACTAATATCTCATCCCACACTGTTTTAACAGCCTCCGTTAATTTCAGCGGTGACACTCTCCTCACTGTGTGTCTCAGTATTTGAGCAAGCCAGTTGCTGTCGCAGTGTTTTTGTATCATTCATATCTTCACCATTCACCTGTGATTTTTTTATATGAATTTAACATTTAGCAGTGGTGCCTCAGAGCTGACACAGATAATCTTTAGTCAACTTGCTTGCTGTGGTATTTTGTGATTATTATTGTGAAATGCCGAAGCAGCGCTACAGCATTTTGGAAAAAAAAAAGAAAAGCCCAATTGGTTTTTTTTTTGTTTTCTTTCATTTTGTTTTCTTTGCCACTGTAGCACAAAAATATTAACTTCTGAATGTCTTTTGTTGCCTTGCAGTTTTGTACTTGCTCTGCTCCCTTTAAACATAGGGTTATAGAGGTTGCATAGTGCAGCTGTTTGTGTAAAGTGTGTTACTTGTAAAGCACCATATAGCTGCAATACAGGACAGAGACTGTTGCTAACAGCCTAGCCTCAAGCTGAGAAATATTAATAGTCTGTGATGTCACATATCAATTAATTCTACTGTATGAACTGTGGACTGGACGCCGGGTCAAATCTCTGTTTGAATTGCCTTCTTATCCTTTGATCTGTGATAGACTGAGTTTCTCGTGACACACTGAACAAGTGGATAGTGTGTCTGAAATCTCTTACCACATCTGCTACATTGGCACGGAGTGATAATGCACAAAATACCCACTAAATAATAGTACAAGCTTTCAGAAATAGCCACTGCTGCCTTCAGAACAGAAGATCCTCCTTTTAATGCATTTCTCGCCTCCTTTGTGCGATCTGGTGAGTGCAATACCAATCAGCAAAAGCAAAAGCACTCTGCTGTCCTGCAGTGCACAATCACAAACCTTACTGGGACTGATTTGATGTAGAGGAAACCGAAACAACAATAAATCTCTTAAAAATGGAACAAGGACTGCTTGTGTTTTGAGCCTTACGGTCCACTCTACACTTAGTGCCAAGCAGTTAGATTCCTTGTAAACACACATTATTGGAGCGTAGCATCCAAACCAGAATGTAAAGGGAACCGTCAACTTATTGAGGCCTGAAGTGCACTTCCCAGATAATGCTAGGGCATCAGTCACGGCGCTGACCAGTCCTGCCTTACACCACCTCTTCAATATCCCAGAGAGGAAAACAAAGGACAATGTCATCATGAGAGAGAAGCACTTTCCTATCCTGTATACATCTTGATTCATTAAACATATTTAGACAATTCATTTTTGATTTAGACTACAGTGTAAGACTCTTCCTTTTTATTTAAATATTCTGTGTTTTTATTTTGTGTAGGAACTGTCTTCTTCATTTTTGTCATCTGGCACTTGTGTTGTTCTTCTGGAATTGTGTAAATAATGTTTGAGGAGTCAATTAAACATTTTCGTGGGCGTCGGCGTTTTATTCCCCTGCCAAATATCTTGTGTATGTGTTTGTGATGTTTTTCACTGTAATACCACACATGAAATTACCTTATTTAACTCACTTAACTTTGTCATAGTAGATAATCAGGTCTACTTTTTGCTTTATACTTCATCAAATACTGGTAATTTTACAATTAAGATATATATAATACAGACAGTGAGGTCCCAAAACCTTAAAATATAATATAATTCTATCATCGATAGAAAAACACCTTTACCTAACATTTGAGTGTCCGCATGCTTTTGTCTCTCCCTGTGACAATTCTTTCATGCCTACAAAGTGCTGCAAAGTCAGAAACATGTGCACATCATGACACATCACCTGAAATACTTGCTATGTTAGATATGAATAGAAGGGAACTCGTACACACACTGTTTGGAGCTTTGTGAATGATTAATGGTGACAGGTCCATAAAGATACACCTGAGGCTCTCAGGGGTTAAATGTGGGAACCTTGCGTTGCTTTTCTTGCCAAACAAATTACGCACATAATTCCCATGCATGTGCACATACTCATTTCATACCCATCAGCCATTACACCCACACCAACAGTCTAATTAAGCCCAGCACTGCGAGCAGATATGGAGACCTGGTATTGATTCAGTAATGGAGCTGATTTTATTCCAAATAAATCTGACTGAATTATCTTTCATGGTTGAAACAATAAAACTCAGCTGCGTTGGTGTCTGTGGGATGAACTGACTCATATAAATACCAGAGCTGGAAGACACCGAAGTAAAAGTACATATACCTCAGTGTAGAAATACTCATTACAACTAAAGGTTGTTCACTTATAGCCTATAGAAATGGTCCTGACGTGTCAAATTTGATTTACTGTAACATAAAAGCAGAAGTTTAATGCTGTAGCTGGCCTAAGTGTCATCTAGGTCAACCTATTATTCCTGTACTGTTAAGTTGTCCAAACCAAGTGGTTCCCAACCTGAGAATCAGGAACCCTGCACAAGGCCACAAGATAAATCTGAGGGGTCTAATCAAGGAAGAAGAAGACAAAATATTCCTGCAATACAACCTTTTGTTCAGTTTTTCTGGCTCTTTGCTTTTTTTCTGCATGAGTTTCAACTCGTCAGAGCTCTAAAAACTATTAAAATTACCGAGTATGAGAGGGAAAAATTGCTCTGTGATTAAAACTTCCCACAAACAACTTGTGGAGGAGGGTTGTAACTGTGTCTCGCGTGGCTGTAAAAGGTCATAAGACAAAAAGGATCAGTGGTTTGAACTCCAGCGACGAGCAATTCCTCATCTTTTATGATACATGTAAAATCTTGATCAAGTAACTGGAGACAACATCCACCAGAGACATTTAGAGGAGTAATTTTCCCTCATAATGTGGTGGAGAAGAAGTAAAGCTGCACAAAATGGAAATCCAGAGTAAGGTACAAATTTATTAAAACTGTGCTTAAGTAGACTACATGAGTATATCTACCACTGCTAGAAATTATTCTTTGGACTGAATCCTAGAACATTTAATAAAACACAGTTTCATAGTGTGGATGGGATGTTCTGTAACACCAGGATAGCTGAAGAGTGCATGTTCAGAACAAATGGTTTTTGGTTTGTGACCCCCTTCAAGTGAAACACATATGGAAATGAGCTATGCACAGTTCAGCCAAAGAGAGTTTTTGCCTGCTCATGCTGTTTCATTCACAGTTTGTAGGTACCTGAAGATTTGACAGTATGCAGTTGTCACAAGAGAAGAGTCCTCATTCCCTCCCTCTAGAACCACTGTTCTAAAATATAATCTTTTTCTTTCTTTTTTTTACATGCGCATTTACTCCACACATTAATGCAAATGTGGTTGTGCGCTCATAACCTAAAGCTTAGCACAGTAGTGAGGGAGGCGGGCCCAGCGGCATCAGCAGAGTAGATGAGTGACCTTCTTGAAGTTTTAAGAATCAGTACATTGTGCAGGGATGAGGTGAGTCCACACGGTTTGCCTTTTCCTCTTTTTTTTTTTTTTTTTTTAAAACAACACAAGCAATGTGCTCTACAGTAACTACGGTAAATTCTCCCCGAATAAACCAAAAATGAGGACCTAAAACTAAACGTTGCGTGCATCTGATGTCGGCGGTTTTGCTCGTCCTGACGATGCAGACTTTGCTCACCCTTGGGACCTACTGTAGTCCACGTCCGCAACGCGTAGCATTTGCTTTTAAACTCACATTTATTTTTGTACACAAAATAAAATGGCACGACCACAAGTCAGCACGACACGGGGCAGAGTTAGTGGGAGATAAATCATTCACGTTGTAAGAGGCAAAGGTCCATACTGTAATGTTTGACGACGTAAGGACAGCGTGGACTTGTGGCACAGTGTTAAACGGGTTAATTGCACTGGGTCCATTTTAACTCCTCCTTTGCTTATGAGGGAGAGGAAGTACTTGGAAAAAAACAAGTGAGCACCATTGCTGAGGGTGAGCTGTAATGGGGCTGCTGGAAGAGGCAGTCTGAGAGGTCACCTGAGCAAAACTGGAGTAAGAGTTTAGACCACGTTTAAAATGCAATAGGTATCATTTGTATTTTAAAGCAGCAGCTAATGATTCATTCAATCAAACTTTGTTAAGGACACCGCTCATGGGGGGGGGGGGGGGGGCCCACAGGAAGAAAACAACAGCAAATAAAACAAAATGAACATAACATCAAATCAAAACAAAAGACATTCCACAATACACAGACTTTGCACATAGGCTGCAACGCCAGTGGTTCCATAATCATAATAATGAAATCACTACCAGTTATTCTTGGGATAAATGGATTCATTGTTTGGTATATACAGTGGCAAGAAAAAGTATGTGAACTCGATGTCTTCTTTGACCAATCAGTTCACAATAATATAAAGTAGAGAAAAAACTGTTGCATTTGAGAGTCTGGAATTAGAGAATGTTTTTTGTTTGATAAATAAAACATTAAATGACCCATTAATCAGTCAATTTACTAATTATTTCAGCACTTGATGGTTTTATTTATTTACTTTTTCATTCAAATTAAATTAAAATCACTTTTAATCTTTTACCTTAAGGTTCCCACTGTTGGCACCTCTTCTTCTCTCCCTGCTCCACGCAGCAGGAAGTGATGTCACAGGGGAGGAGGTGGACAGGAAGCCAAACTTTGTCCTGATGATGGTGGACGACTTGGGTATTGGTGATGTAGGTTGCTACGGTAACAATACCATCAGGTAAGTCCAACAAGTGTGTCGTGGGCCTTTGTTGTGTGTGTGTGTGTGTGTGTGTGTGTGTGTATCTCTTTATCATTTGCTCACCCATTGTCTGCTCCTATTCTCTCCATTTCCTGGCTTTAATTTCTTCCTTATTTCCAACTTTGTCATCACCCGTTCTTGTTTATTATGCCGGTCATCCAATATCACTCTGATGTGTGGCTGCTCTGTCCCTGTAGGACTCCTAACATTGACAGACTGGCTTCTGAAGGGGTGAAACTGACTCAGCACATTGCGGCTGCTCCTCTCTGCACTCCGAGCCGGGCTGCTTTCATGACGGGGCGTTATGCGCTCCGCTCAGGTAACGGACAGTCTAAAACTTGTTCAGCCAGTGTGTAACTGGCATGTGTGTACTGCGATGTCTGTGTCAAACACGGTATGATCCATATTTGTTTATTCATTTTATTTTTTGCATGTGTGTGTCTTGAGTAGGAATGGGTAGCGTAGGCCGTGTGCAGGTGCTGCTCTTCCTCGGAGGGTCGGGCGGGCTTCCAACAAGTGAGATCACCTTCGCTAAGAGGCTGCAGCAACAAGGATACACCACCGGCCTAGTGGGTGAGATGATGTAATGTGAGCATTTATTTACTGGTCCTCATTGTAGAATTTCCCAGGAAAGACAGAAGTTATCGACATTTCAGCAGGTCAGATGTTTGCTGTCATGTAGAGCTTGAAGATGGTTCAGCTCTACAGAGTGGTGCTTGACTTTTCTTGGTCTTCTGCTTGTGTGTGTTTTAGACAGGATGAGAAAAACCTTATTGTACATAAGGAGGCAATTTGAGATGCAGTTAGGTACATGATCATTTTCACACTTTGGCAGCACATGGAAAACATATGGCTTTCCATTCGGCACACACACTGTTTTGTGCAAGTAAGTAAGAGAAAGATGCCTGTGTGTATGTAGGAATGCAGAATAACAAATACATTTCACTTGGCTCTCTGTGATACCACCCTCAATGTGATAGAATATTAGTCACCCTGTAACTGTCCATTCATGTGACACTGAAGATTTTCATGAGGGTCTGTCTATTTCTGGCTTGTCCTTGCCTTCTTGAAAGAGCCCACTATTTGAAGCTGCAGGGTTTTGCAGCACAAGAATATTACTAATTGTGTGTGTTGCCTTCTGAGGGAGGATATTATTGAATTTAATGAGCTGAAAATGCAGTATAATTTAAACGATGCCAACTTCTATCAGCATGTACAGTTAAAAGTTTTACATTACAGAAGACGTCGCCCGCAGCCATAAAGACATTGCTGATAAAAAAAAAAAATTTAAAAAGTGTGAGAGGCAAAGGAACTGTTTACGAACTCTTATCATAGGCTCATAACTGCTGCATTGATATAAAATCACAGTGGGTTAGGGTTAGAACATATGGCAGCATTCAAATTATTTATCAAATTGTGTTCAGGCTAAAGTTATTCCAGTGAAGATTTGAGGGTAATTTTAAAAGATCATTTGGATTTGGGGCAGGCTTACAGATATTTGGATACTCCTCATGTCATGTCTTAATATTTTTCATATCAGTAAAGATAATTTCTCAGTGGTTTGTATATATGTTTTGTTTTTTGCTTTTTTTATGCTGTGCCTGCTGTTTGAAACAATATGAAATTGAGATCCTGAATGCACGATGCACGTACATGCTACCCCATGTGTCTTGATGACTTGCTGACTGTTGTGCATGAGCTTGCAGGTGATTTGTTCCGATGGAAAGGGTATCACTCTGACCTTTAGTGAGCACACCAGGCTGGAGGCGACACAAACCTGTCACATTCATGGCAGGATTGGGCTGATGGTGTCTCCACCTTTACACCCCTCGCTACCCCAACCTCAGTCCTGTGTCTGTGTATTGTTCTGTTTTCTGTGTCTCTATCTCCTAAGTCTTCTTTTTTTCTTTGATGATAATAATAATGATAATAATAATAATTTTTAACAGGTTTGCAAAGTGTTAAGCTGACATGTATCCATACTCCTGTCTCTTGTCTTTGTTTTTGTGTCCATCTGTCTCTCTCCCTGTCACTGCAGGTAAGTGGCACTTGGGTGTGAACTGTGAACACAGAGGAGATCACTGTCATCACCCAAACCAGCACGGCTTCAGCTACTTCTACGGCCTGCCGTTTACCCTGTTCAATGACTGTCTGCCCGGACATGGGAGTGATATTCTGGCAGACCTCCAGCACACACTCCAAAATCTGCTCAGTATACTTGGAGTTGGTCTTTTCACACTGGTAAGGCCGATTCTGTGTCATTTCAGCTTTTATTTCCCTTTCCTTAGAGATGATCACACAAAGGTGGATCTGAAAACAGACACATAGATAATATGAGAAAAAGATGACTGCTCTAGAGAACAAAATAAAAGACAAAAACAGACACATACATCTGGGTTGCCAGACAACGAGGACTAAATTTGAAAACAAAGAGTTGCTGTGCTGTTCACCCCAAAGCAAACTAACTAATGTGTAATCACTTAGACATGAGCCACAGGGTTTGAAAAAAAGATTGGGAACAGAAGCTGCAATTGTGAAACTCACAGTGACGTCAGCCAGAAAACCTGTTTTAGGGGAAAGCAAAATAATGTCGAAACTAAAATTTGGTGAGGACCTGGCCATGGTAACTAAGACAAATAGGAACCAGCTGTGCTGCAGGTAGAGCAAGCAAGATGACTTGAAACAGGCATTTGTTCTAAAGAGGAAAAATAAATGAGTACAAAATAAAGAACTACAACAATTTAGAATGGCCTGCAGGGAGACAGAGGTCTATAAAACTATTTTCTGATCTAAATTTAAGCACTGCACTGTATGTATGAACAAAGGACACAATGTACTACTTGTTTCACTTAAATAAATAACTACTTCGGTAATGGTTTGTGATATCCTCTAGTGGCAAATTCATGTCATTGCAACAGAATCAATGTAATGTGAAGTGCCATGTTTCATTACATGTCTTGTGCAATACAGTGAAGTAGCCCCACAATAAATGATACCACTGGGGATGTTGATGTTACATAGGGGCATAGGGGGTTGAGACATTGCCTGAGAGGTTTTGATTTGACTGTGCTAATTCTCTTAGGTTTTTAGTTTAGTATATTAGTGGGAATAGAAATATATCAAAAGCTTACAGTACAATGCGGTCCAGTACAACAAATGTGCTCAAAAATCACTGTGGTATTCCTCTGAAAAAAATATCCTTGGTATTAAGATGCTTCATTTAAAAACACACATGGAAGTAAAACTCAACACTCTGTCAATGAACACAATGAGACATGAATGTGAATTGAACTTATTGAGGGAGTTATAACCCTGGATATTTCACAATCAGCAATGGAAGATAAGGATTGTGGGAGCAACCTGTATTACCTTAAAAACATTGTTTACTTTTCTAGTTTTATTTCGTACCTTTTGTATATTACATTTTAATACAAACTATATATATTTTATTTTATGTTCAACATTTTAAATATAGTAATAACTTCCCAGATGGAAAATTGTGTGAACATGTGTACAATTACTGTGTAGCTGACACACATCACAGGAAGTTACACATTAATACGTGCTTGTGCATTGTATGACAGTGGTTCCATTTTGTGTGTGGATGTGTTGTGTACTTTCAGGTGTGTGTCCGTGTGTGTGGCCTCCTTGATGTCAGCCTGTGGCTCCTGGTAGCACTTTTCTGTCTCAGTATCCTAGCAACAGCCGTGTGGTATGTGCCCTTTAAACTCCTGCCGACCTGGAACTGCATCATTATGAGGAACCAAGACGTGATTGAACAGCCAATGACAGTGGAGACGCTGCCCCAGAGGTTGCTGGGAGAAGCGCAAAATTTTATAAAGAGGTAGGAATGAGCCAGCAAAATAACTAAAACAAAAAACCCAAAAAGTCTTATATTCACGATCTGATCAGAGCCGTTTCATATTTCACGTATACATGTGGTTTGATCACTAATTGACTAGACTTGACCAGACCACAGAGACAACATTGATCCCAAACAGTGTTTATGATTTTCAGTTTCTATGTTGAGACTTTAGATTTCAGAAAGTCAACTTAAAGAATAAGGCTCTAGTTGGGAACCCAAAAAGATCGATACTGATGATGTGTTAGTCTATCTCTCATTACTTTCATCCTGTTTGTGGCACTCAGCCCAAAGCCTGTTTGTTTCTACTGAAGACGTAAATCTTAAAAAAAAACAAAAAAAAAACAAGAAAATATATTGTTGCATTCCTGAGTCACTTCCTAAAACACCTGGGCATTGTACTGTTTTCAGCTGCGAATGAATGCACATGTGGTGCGATAGTGAGTGTTTACACTACCAGGACAGTGTATGTGGGATTGACTCAAAATAAACAAGCCCCGATGTTTATTCTCCTGAAAGAGCGAGTCAGTATGTGGCTCACTGATGAAACACTGTTTGTAGGATTTACTGACAATAAGAAAAATACAGTGTCACCTTATCCTTCAAAATAAATACAACATTGTAAATGTTTAATATTCAAAATGCCACACAAGCCTGATGAGAGAGCTTCTCACTTCCTCCACAGGAACGTTGATCGTCCATTCCTCCTTTTCTTCTCACTTGCCCATGTCCACACACCACTCTTCAAAACCCCTGCCTTTGCCGGCAAAAGTCGCCATGGTTGCTACGGTGACAACATAGAGGAAGTGGACTGGATCATCGGTGAGTCAGGGCTGTAAAGTGGATGGGTTAATACTAGCTTGCATTCTTAAACATCATACAGTGGCCTGTAGTGGTAGTTTGAGGGCCCTATGCTTCTGTTTCAGCTGATCTGTGGATATGGTGTTTCTTATGATGAATATTACAACCCTCTTTCAGTTGTACCTCCACGTACAGTGTTTTAGATAATTTGCCTAAATTGCTGGTTTGTTTACACCCTGTCTGATTGCGTTTCTTGCCTCATCTGATTTCACTGTCGCAATGTTGTCATACTAGTAAAGGAGAAAAGAAGTTGTAATATACCAGAATTACACTTAAACCACCAGGAAAGCCAGAACAGGTCCCTCACATGATGCATTACCAACCATCCCTAATGCTATATTATGTTTTGTAGGTAAGGTGACAGAGACAGTAGACTCCCTTGGTCTAGCCAACAATACCCTGATGTACTTTACATCAGACCATGGTGGACACCTAGAGGATGCTAACTCTGTAATGGGCCAGACAGGAGGCTGGAACAGCATCTATAAAGGTAGATGATGTCACTGTAATTTTTTATGTATTTAGAGCAAACCTTCAGATATTTCCCTGACATGATATAATAAGATGTGTTGTGTTGTGTCTTAATGTCTCACCTATAGGTGGGAAGGCTATGGGGGGCTGGGAGGGTGGGATAAGAGTACCTGGTATTTTCCGCTGGCCTGGCAGACTGGCAGCTGGGAGAGAAGTAGACGAACCCACTAGTCTTATGGACCTGTACCCTACCCTGAAGTATTTAGCCAAGGACACTCAACCAGACAGGTACAGACTGGCTGATATGTGTGCTTTCATTGTATTGTGTGTACTCTTGTTCATTTTCATTTGTTTCTCCAGTTTGTTTTTTTTCTTGGAAAGGTTGAAAAACATCTGTTACAGTATTTGATAAATACAATGACGCACTGAACCATATTACAGAGTTACATAAACAGGGGAGAAAAGACCATACAATTACTCTAAACCTGAGCATAATAATTCAAATGTTTTGCAGCAACATGATTATAATGTGAATCCAAAAGTACCTCATTATCTGTAAACAACCATGTCTTTTGTTTGGGAGAAGGTTGCTGTGTGGGCACTATTTTAGAGAGCATTGTAGGTGGCATAAAGAAGGTCAGAGATGATATAGTAAATTCTTATTTTGTTATGTCATTAAGACAAAAAAAACCTTTGTACTTGTTATTTATTTTTACATAACAGGCTTGTCTCCATGTGTTTCTAACATACTAACCTTTATATGGGACTTTAGTAATCCCAGCATTACATTTATTCAAATTTTTCTAAATGTAAATTTTTATTTCAACATTAATAAATAGCTCCTGCCACACATCCTGTCTGACCTTCTGTGTGATGGTGAGCAAAGATTGATATTTACAATGTGAAATACTTCACGTCATTAAAAGGTCACAAGTCTAGTATCTCCTCTGCATGTAGTGCTGTGTTTATGTTCTGTCCCTCGATTTTAAAGTACTCTGTATCTCATCAAACTTTGCTCTCTGCCCTCTATCTCCCTTTATTGTGTCTTTCTCCCAGACATTTAGATGGCTATAACCTAATGCCACTGTTGGAGGGGAAAGTAGAGCGATCAGACCACGAATTCATGTTCCACTACTGTGGCATCTACCTGAACGCAGTCCGCTGGCACCCACCTGGCAGTAGGTTCACGCATACTGTTGACACAGAGATGTTCCAAAACACCTGGCAGACAAATGTATTTGACTGTCAAAGGGTGTGATTATTTATTCTGCATATAAGGCCACAAGGGGTTGATGTAACTTTAGCTTTAAAACAGAAAAACTGTACTTTCAACTTAAACTAAAAACAAACTGCCTTATCTGATGCTCTCTGCAACAAAATTTCCCAAACTAAAATGAATTGAACAAGAGAAAATACAAACCCTTTGACTTGCTTGCTAGAGAGTGAATGTAGCTGAGAAATCTAACTTTGAAGATGGTGGTAGGACATCTTATTGAGTCCAGTTCTTACTGAATTTTGGTTCTGGGATTTTATTTGACATAAAGAGCAGCCATTACCTTCAGCAGATTTAGGCTGACATAAAATATATTGTACTGTGTCTGTGAGTGTATGTATATTTATTCACAGTATTAGTATTATTTTACAGCACTGCCCTTTTATAGCTTAGTGCGCTAAAACTGTTATCATGTTAGATGACCTTCCACTCATGGCACTTTTAAATTTAGAACCACATACAAATCAGAACCATTTCTTTTGGCCCAGACGTAATGAAAATCGGAAGTAATGTTAAATATTTATATGGGGATTTTATCGGGGTTTACTGTGTCTTAGTATATGGTGAATACATGTGTTACCTGGTGTGTGTTTCCTTCCAGGTGACTCCATCTTCAAGGTGCACTTTTTCACTCCCAACTTTTCTCCCCCTGGAGCTGGTGGATGCTATGACACTAAGGTCTGTCTATGTCACGGTGCACATGTGACGCACCACCATCCCCCGCTGTTGTATGACATTTTCCACGACCCCTCAGAGTCCCGCCCACTGACCCCTGATACTGAGCCACGATATGCTGAAATCCTTGAACAGACTGCCAAAGCTGTGGAGCGGCATCAAAGTACTCTCACAAACAAACAGGTGTCTGACAATGCAGATGCACACGGCGTTGAAAGCCAGATGACTTGGAAGAAGATTCTGTGGAGACCCTGGCTTCAGCCCTGCTGTGGGACCTTTCCGTTCTGTGGCTGCAAAGAGGACACGCTGCATGTTTAAGCGAAAAATGCACCTTGTCACCTTAAAACATGAAGAAAAAACCTTAGGGTTGGTGAAACTCCTTTTTTTTTTAAGAATAATATAATACTGTAGTTTTTATGGCTCAGGGTGCATTCAGGTGCTTTCACTGTTCCAAGAGCATTTCAAAGAAATGAAAAGGTTTAGTGTAACAACTATCCTACCATGCTTTTTGTTTTGGATTTCTAACAAGACACGACTTGGATTGAGAAGCTTGATTTAATCTAAAATTTAAACTTATTTGTACAATGCAATTGATTGTTTTGTAACTGATTGAAATTGAAGCAACAGTCATATTGTGTAGTAAAAATGAAAACGAGCACTGACATCTTTAAAATTGAAACAAACTTTAAATTCAAATCAAGGCACTCAAAATTAATTGAAATACTACTGAAACAAATCAAAAGTTAAGAGAAGATTAAATAATTTCCTCACTGCGCTCCACCTGTGGTCAGTGCATTATTACACTATACACTCAGTGCTGTGGAGTCAATACTCGTGAAAGGGAACTCTGTTGTTGTTACATGTGAGATTCATTTAATGAAGGATCTGTTCATTTGGTGCTCTTATTTCTTACAATGTCGTCAGTGCTTGGAGTGCATGATACAATAAAAAGGTTACTTTGCTGTCATTCTCGGTACTGTACGGTACTGTATCTGCATTCAAACTTATAGGGAGGTCATTGTAATATTTATGATCACAGTCTCTTTCTTCAATATAACTAATTCAGTTACTGTAAGAAGAATTGGAAATAGAGGTAAAATTCCTCAAGAAAGTAAGTTAGACCGTGAGCCATTAGGGGGCAGAGTTAGACTGTGTTTTGGAAGATGGATAGCTGCAGTGTGTGTGTGTGTGTGTGTGTGTGTGTGTGTGTGTGTGTGTGTGTGTGTGTGTGTGTGTGTGTGTGTGTGTGTGTGTGTGTGTGAGAGAAGAGAGAGGGAGAGGGAGAGGGTGAGGGAAGGAGAATATGGAGGGTAAGAGATTTCAGTTCTGTCGCTGTGGGCTGTTTAATTTTGCATGAATATCAATACTGTGCATATTGTCAATGCAAAACACATGAAAGATGCATAGTCTTAGATACACAGATACATACAGTAGTTGTGGCATTTAGGTATTGTTGTAACATAGTAAAATATTGCTTCAGTAGTGATAAGCTGAAGGTTAGAAATCCCTTTGTGCATCATTTGTTTTTAGTTCTAGTGATCAGAAAAGCACCTCACCGTAAACATCTTTTTGGCTATTTCTTCTTTCGCCCTTTATTCTCCATCAGTCACTCCATTTTCTTCTTGCCCTCCTTTGTTCCTCTCCTCTTGTTAAATATCCACAAAATTCTCACCTGTTACTTTGTTCCCTTCCCATTCATCTCCTGTATTTTGGTGACATAATAGTGCTTTTTGATCTCACAAAAAGAATTTTCTTTTCACTAACACTCCCCTTCAGGAAGATCAGAGCGTTCAGTCAGCTGCTGAACAGCACTGCTCAAGGACACAAAGGCAGGCTGGATGTTGGCCAACAGAGTGTCGTACTGTGACCACAAGGACATCCTGTGGGTCTACAGATCTTCAATAATAAAAGACTTTAAGGACTGTGGGAACTTCTCCATCATCCACGCCATTCATTATCATCATCACCATCATCATCATCATCAACAACATTTGCACTGTCTCCCTCCAGCAGTGGCTGGCTGTCAGAACATCAAAGTTTGCTACAGTGGCAGGCTATCATTTCTCTCCTTCCTTCCCTCCTCTTGTTTCCTCTTCCTCCATCTCCTCAAACTGCTTTCTTCATCTATTCCTTCTTGTCCTCCCCTCTTTGTCACCCCCCCCCCAGAAATTGCACTTGCATCTGCAGGTGAGGAGGGAAATTTCATCATCGTCACCATCATCATCATTATCATCTCTGTAATCGTTGCCATCACAGTCATAGTATTTACTTCTCTCCCTCCAGCAGAGACCCGTACATCAAGCACTCAGCAAGTTCATTACAGTAGCCACTCCATTATATCTCTGACAGTATATCATGCAGTCAACCATACATAACGACATTTGGCTGGACATCAGAGTTAATGATGGCTGGTGGGATAGAATGTTACTGGCTGTACATCATGTCTCACACACACGTAACCATGTGCACGCATAACCACACAGAAACGTTTGCACACACCTGATTTTGTACACATGCACATCGTATATCATGTTGTTTTGAACAGATCAGTGGTTTTCTGGAAAGGTCAATGTTTCAGGGGACGCCATAAAGCATTTTTACAACCCTCTGTTTGACACACAATAAACACACATACAGCTTGAGAAGAGGGGAACATTGCACGGCAGCTTAAACACACCAGAAATAGCGCTCCTGCATTAAGTATGTTACACACACACACACACAATTAATTTAGTTGTGAGGTTGTTGGGGTGATGCTGAGAATAGAGTTTATTATAGATCAGAGAACATTTTTAAAATGAACCAACTGTGGCAGGATACCTTTGTTGTAGCAAATCTGTTTTCTATCTTTCCAATTAACTTTCACCTCAAATTCACTGTTAATGTCAAATCTAGAAAATGTGTTCAACATTTGAAGTTTGAATTATATGAAAAATTCTGATACTGTCTAAATGTCAGGCGCTAAACACACAGCACAATTGTTTTATCAGTTACGCATATTCCCAGCTGTATCTGTAGGACAGCATTGTAACCTTCTGATAAACCATTAAAGGAATAGTTGGACATTTTAAACAATTTTTAATATTTAATTTTCTTATTTGATTTGCAGGTTAGATGAGAGGATAACCCTTTCATATCTGTGCATTAAGTATGGCGTTACAACTGGGAGGCAAATTAGTTCTAGATTAGCATAAAATCTGGTAGCAGAAGCTAATCAGCTAACATAGCACCGTCCAGTGTTAGAAAATAGTCATACAAACACTTATTAACAGATATAACGTGTTAATTACTGAGCATAAGAGAGACCCAAGCTAACTGTTTAGCAGTTTAAGCTAGGCTAATCATCTCAATGGGCCACACAACGTACATGAAAGTGATATTGATCTCTTCATCTAACTCTCCTAAAGAAAGAGACTAAGTGTATTTGTTAATGTAAGTAGCTTCCTGTAAATGTCCAAAACCTAATTTTTGACCATATAAATGATAAGTGTATTCACGTAATGGAGGCCACTAAAAGAAAAGAATTTGCGTGTTTTGCATCTGAGCATAGCTAGAAAATACTCAAATTGTGAAATTTTCCTTAAAACTCAGGACAGCTGTTTGTTGGCTGTGAAACCGTGGGAAGGGAACAAAATGAAAATCTATTTATATACATGAAAATCAGGGCAGAGTTTCTGTGGCCAGTCAGTAGCCATATTACTGTTCTGTTCGGCTGAGGTTTTGTTAAAACCACAACTGACCTCTGTGGTAAAGCTGTCACATACCATTACAATCTACAGCCCATGCCCAACGCAGCGTGCACTCTTTGCCCTCCTATCTCAGTTTATGCCTTTTATTATTTCCTCAAAATTAAAGCTAACATCGACTGCAGTGTGTTGAAAGGCCTGGGGCCACATGACCAGGGAACTAAATAAAACATACATAGCACTATTTTAAAAAGTTTTAAAATTGATGAGGAAGCAGGGGAAAAGTTGAGATCTCACAGATGCAAAGTTTCTGCAGAGCGCGATACATTCCACATGTGACTGCTACTGAATTCTCCAACAACCCCAACAACCAGTCCAAGAAGAAGACCAATATTGCTCCATCAGTCAATGCTGACCATCTATTTGCCCATCTATCTCTTTCTCTGTCTGGGCAATTCAAGTAGTTATTTAGTGAAAATAGAAAACAGAAGAAAATCACTGTGGTTTTTCAGTTGCCCGCTACTCTGTTCTGTTTTGTTCAGATGTGGTTTGACCTACCACAATAGATTGCTGTGGAAAAGCAGCAATTACACACCATTACAACACTATTACATTGGGAAGCATGAAAAATGTGTGTGATGGAGAGAGAGAGAGAGAGAGAGAGAGAGAGAGAGAGAGAGAGAGAGAGAGAGAGAGTCTGTCAGGTTTGTCAATGAATGAGGCTTTTTACAGAGTAAGACAGAGGTGTTTACACTGCTATTAGTGCAGATTGGATTTGTGTACATGCAGTATAGGTCTTTAAGTGTAAGGACACAGTACAGAGAAGAGGAGAATGTATTTGCATACATAGGTGTATGCTTGTTTATGATCATAAATGTCAGCGCAACAGAGGCAAATTTTTGTGTACGTATGTATTCGTTTTGTGAGATTATATGTGTGCGTGTTTTCAGCAGCACTGGGCAGAATTGTTACCGTGTGAGATAGCCTCCAGGGAATGAGATGCTGTCTCTGCTGGGGAACTTTCACTACACACATGCAAACACACACACGCAAACACACACATGCAAACACACACACACACACTGACCACTGACTCTAATTGACTCTAAGCCTCTCAATCTCTCCATGTCTGTACTCTGCCCTTGTATCTAAATGTAGATCTTTTTCTGATCCCAGAGGGGGATCAGAGGGGGAGTGATACTGTACCAGACCATGCTGTGTTTTTGTGTACGTCTCTTTAGTATGGTACAGTGTCTGTGGTTTGAGTATGTGTCATGTTGCATGCCATATGGTCAAAATTACCCCTCACAGGGGACAAGGCTCCAGGCAGGGAAAAGGAACTGGATTGGGATGTCGGCACTCACACACACACACACACACACACACACACACACACACACACACATAGACTTCTGTGCACACATAATCAAACCACAAAACTTGCACAAGCACACACATTTTCTCACTGGTAGACCTATTAGTGACAAACAAATACTTTCAGTCATTAATACTCTCATGCACACACACACACACACACACACACACACACACACACACACACACACACACACACACACACACACACAAAAATACACTCTTCCATAGTCACAATCACTAACCTCGTGCAAGCTTTAACATTCAGCCCCGTTTGGTGACAGGAAGTGTTTAGGGAGGTGGGGTTTGATGAGGAACAGATAGCTAAATAACTAGGCTAATGGGACAATTGTAGCTGTGGACACACACACACGCACACACACACGCACACACACATGCACACACACACACACACACACACACACACACACACACCACACACACACACACACACACACACACACACACACACACACACACAGTGTGCTTAACCTCTCTTCCTGTGCTTATGCCTCTTAAACTGACAGAATTTGGCTGAAACACTCTCATCTGTTTTTTAGTTTAGCACTCCAGAGCAACAGCTCTTAGCTTGTTTGTTGCAGAGGCACGCTTCGACTCAGGGTCAAATAAAAAGAACAACTGCGGCAAAATGTTGCATGTGTGCAATTTGGGGGAATTACAGGTTTTCAAAGCAAAACCCACTCCCACATCTGACACCTCAACCCACATACAAACACACAAACGTAAACATACAGCATCACTCTGTTTCAGCTCGGACTGCTGATGTCACAGGGATGCCAGTCACCGTGTGTGATGAGCTTGCCTGAAAACTACGTGCATGGCCGGCATATGCTCACTCATCCTACTTAGCGAATGCAAAACCACTGAATAGGATGCA